ACAATTCAAAGACCCATTCTGGTTTTATTTTATTTTCTTACTTCCCACAGTAACAATTTTTTAATTGAATTTTAGGGGTATGTCAATATGATGATACAGTGCCAAGTTGCCATGGAGAAAGTATCCCAGAGGACTAACTCTAAAAGGCAGATAATGTTGACATTTTCTTGCTTCTGTGAATTTTATGTTTATGTCAGCCTGAATTGTGCAAAGTTGCGCTCCAAAGCTAAAAGTTTTGTAAAAATATTTTAAACGGTTTATTTGTTTAATAGTCACATTGGAATTTCTGTTCCTTTGATTTTTCAAATATCAGATACTTTTTAAAAAATCAGGCCCAATTAATTGATTTTTCAAACTTCAATATTTGTTTTAAATATAAGTATTTTAAACATGTGTGCTTGTGCATCCTACATATCTAGGGGAGAGAGAGAAATTCATTAGAGCGTATCTCACCCAGAATTTTCTAAATTCTTCTTACTTTGCATTCCTACGTCCTAAAATATCAAACTGAGTTTGAGATTTGAATCTGTTACTAAAGAAAAATAATTAATGCATATTCTAAGTTCTGATCAATTGCTATTTTTATTTTTAGATTCTAAGAGAAATTCTGAAAAATTTTTCTATAAATGTGTTAGGGTGCATAGATTCCGTAACTATAAAAAATAAATCAGTAGATATTTCGAAGAGGAAAAATGGAAAGGGGAAGATTTTTTTTTCTCACGAAATGTCAGGAGGTTGTGTTTGTGTTAATGAGAAACATTATCTTACCAAAGAATCGTAGTATCCTCATTTCCATTTATATAGAAAATTGATTATTACTTAACTAATTGGCACATGCAAATGGGGATTAACTAAATTCACTTTTCTTCACAACTCAATGACTGTAATTTAGATCCTTACTTAGATTTAAATCTTTTATTATTTTTGAAGGTAATCATCTTCCTGTTGTTAGAAATAAAATATCAAAGCACCATACTAATTATAGCTTATTTGTGTCTCACAAATTAGCTAATTAACATTACTGAAAAGTAAACGTACACTGAGCAAAGTTTAAACTGAATTGGAGTCAAGCCTTTTACACAATATAGTGATGAGATATATGCCATTGGGTCAGATATACTTTGGAGCTAATAACTATAGTTACTCAGTTTTACTTCAAAAGAATTGCTTATTCTGATGTTTCAATGCAATTACATCTGTGAACTTTTTGCAATTAGCTCTTCTAGATAGATAAGAGACATGAGGAGTTGGGAAAACAGAAAGATGTG